AATCCTATACGTGCAAAGTAGTATGGTCATAAATGGACACGGGTAATTGAACCTTGAGAGATTCTGTTTGCGGAAAACTTCAACATGAGGTTTCAAATGACCAGTTTGACTAAATCTCATTCGGATACCCTCTCCCCATCACAGGCTCCTCCTACAGCCATTTTTTGCATAAAATGAATCATATTTACATGCACAGATCTTCAGGTCTGATGTCGCTCCCAACTTCGACACGCTGCAAAACATAATGCTGATTATAGCAGCACTCGACGTATTCAAATTGCAAACATGTTCGCTGTTATATGCCAACGATGTCTGTTATTTCAATTACTTCACGTAGTATTGCACCTCAGAGTTACGCATGATTAGTCTCTGTTAGTATCTTCGCCTGTATCTGTCAGGTTTGCATAAAAATAGAATGTGTTAAAATTTTTATTCACATATATTTATTTTTATTATTTTTCATGTTTCGTCTCCCAACTTTATGCATTCCAGTAAAAAATTAATTAGCAAGCTGAGCCTCTCTACCAGAAAACGATAGCAATGAAACTGAAGTCGTCGCTTTGGAAACTACTGTGGGGAAATAAGTTAAAAGATTCATGGCGATTCTTCTGTCTTTGTGATCACCCTCAGCCAAATCTCGTTGAGACACACATGATCATTTACATTTGCTACTTGGCAAAAAAATACTTTACGCCATCGAAGTGAATCACTCATTTTCACAGCAGAGTTTACGCACAATCTGCTTTTACGGCATAGTCTACATTTTACGGACTCGTTGAAATGTTCACCCAGGCGTTATCAATGAAATGAATTCACTTAAAGTCGACTGTCAGGTATTGACATTTTGATAAGGAACCGCAGTTTATCCTTTTAATGCATTAGGAAAAGGAAAAAGGAAAGCATGTAACAGTTGGAATGTCGTTCATCCTCACGCTTTCATAACACGGTCATTCTGGAGATTTTTCTCTCATGAAGTCAATGGCGGGGAAACTTATCTCCATTTTCATGTCCTCAGCCAGAAGTGCCTTATTTTAAGGGAAGAGTCGACAGCAGCTGTGTCAATCTCCTGTTTCCTTCCATCAGAGTGGTGCTCATTTATCAACCTCGGAAGAAAGAAAGGCGAGTCACTCTGACCGGGACTCGAATCCAGGACTGCGTGACTGTGAGTCCGATACTCTACCGACTGAGGCACTGTGCCACCATACCACTTTCACCGTATTAAGAGAAGAAGAAATCAAATCAGAACAGCAACGGAAACACGATTTATAGGCAACTTGCATTCCCTTAGCGTTATTCTCGAGGCAAGAAACGGAATTCTACGACCAACGTAACGAAGCTGGTTTGCAGCACGTGCGTTGAGTTTTGCAACTCACGCTGCAGTTTTCATTGTTGCAGGCGATATTAGATCAAGTTTATAGAGTGGGATTCCCCCAAATTGGGGCTAAGCTAAACTAGACTGTTGCGTCTTTGCTGGCCATTTAATTTTAATCGTTAGGAAGGTGACTCTTCCAAGTGGTTAGTGGACAGAGAATCCAATTTGGTGAACATTCATTGGCACAAATTGGCGTGTCTGTTTAGTATCTGACCCCTCAAAGATCTACTAATCCGTGATTACACGAAGCAGGCCATTGTGACTAAGCACGTGCTTTTCAATGCTGCATGCCATATCTCTGGCTATACTTTATTTCATACGTTTTTGCGACGTTTGCATTCCAGTTCTTGGCACTATCAACATAAATAATACTTTATACGTGGAATAGACATTAACGAACGACATGAAATGAACCATGTACAAAATTCTTCATCGAATTAAGGGCTATCATTAAGCCTGACTCCTACTAAAGTGATGGCCTGGAGGTAATTTTGGAAAGTTTTTCAGTAGGTTGAGATAGTTAGCAGTCACCTTTCGTAAGTGATATCCATTGTATTGAGTGATGTTCAACGTCTTGAAAAATACTTCACTTCTCTGAATCCGTTGGGCTGGATGAAGGATGAGGAGACATCGGTAATTCTTCACCAAGGTTGGCACTTAAAATAGACTGCCAGCAATTACTGGCCAAAAAATATTCAATAATAGAAGATTAGAGGAGCGCTGACTCGCGCTCATGCGCTTCCACAACGAGGACATGCTGAATGAAGCTGAGAAAGGGCGAACCTTGATGGAACTAAGTTTCAGTTTATTTTTTTCTGTTGAAGATCATTCTTATCGCGTGGTAAAAGTAACTCTTTTCCATCGATGAAACATAGTTAAATAAATCTGCACCACGACTTGGCAGCACGGTACGGTTGCTTCGTCGTTTCTGTGACACTTTGGTTGCAAATCCCTGGCCAATGAGCATTTCGTTCTCCTTATGATCATGCGCCATCGAATAACCTGTTGTACTCAGTGTTTTGTCGATGGTGGAAACAGTATAACGCTTCCAGTTAGGTAGTTGGTTATCCATCCGCCTTAAGAGCAGCGCCGCTCCAGTCTTTATAAAAACGGACAAAAGTTTATTAAACAAAGACAGTTACCCATGAGTTCGTTTGCTGTGAAGTTATGACCATTTCTTACCTTACCATTACTTGATCATGACTGTGTATGATGTGACACTGGCGCGTTACTCTCGTCGTACAACAAACGAACGCACAAGTAATACGACGTAGATCGTTTGATTTCACTACGCTACAGTATGCCTTGCAGAAATTTACACGCGATGCACGTTAGTACAGTTAGGAGCAGTTGCCAGATTAGTGCAGTGAGGACGGTCGTCCGTCGCGAACGCGCCTTAAGACCGATTCATGTACGTGCGAAAACAATGTCTTGTAACGTGCAATATAATGTGACGAAAGTAGGACCATTTTCCAATTTGCATTGGCAGCGTTGATTAATGAACGAAATAACGTTTTAGTAAAAAATAATTTCCTCTGACACTCGGTCCTTCTGGTGCCAAACCTATCCATTAATCGGACAGCTGGCAACTAATTTGCTTTCATGATAATATAGCATGTCAATATTTACAGTTTTCGGCGGACAACTTTGCTACAGGCCGCAATCGCACTGCAACTTTTTGCCTGTTCGACCGAAACAGACTGCAATAACTTATTCCATTGTCCGCTCGCAGATTAATTTGGCAAGATAGCGATTTATTTCCGGCGATTAATTATATCGATGCAGTCATCAGCGAATAGTAGGTATACAAATTTTTGATCAATTTTATCTGATAAATATTTATTAGGTACCGCCCTGTCTGCTTGTGATTGGAGAACAGAAAGTATCGGAACCAAAATCGATTACAGACTTGACGACGGACGGAAGATGTTAGCAGTCTGAAGCCTACATACATTACATGTTAGAAAAGTAACGCAACAGTAATGTACAGATGATGGCATACGACGTACGCTTGTTTTACTGTAACGTGCAGTCAATTTCAACGCGTAGTTGCGCGACAAAGGAAGATTTTTAAATTAAGCATCACCTGGTCATTACGTGACCACAGTGTCTTCTGCACAGAGCGTTCTTTTACTACACTGGTTGAGGTGTGGTCACAGCAGTTTCCAACAATGCGAACCAACAAGTCATTAAATGATCCAAACCATACGTTTCGGTACCTATCGACGTGTTGAGCTGGCTTTCTGGCCTTTCGAATGTCCGGCAGCAGCGATTTAACGCGTTCGCCATTCGTTTACGACGGTTTGACCAGTGGCTCCTTCGAAGTTCATCAAAGCACGTTGTTAGTTCGTACAGGAGTGGCCATGAATTTCCTTCAGCCTCGCAAAACACACATTTACGGAAAACATTAAATTGCACAGCTAATAAACTGGAACTTCAGTGATTCTGGGTACAGCGAAAC